GTGATGCAACCTATGTGGGGCAATCCATGCGGTGTAAGCTAGGCGGTGCGATATACGTGGTGCACGCTGGGTGGTGCTATATAGGTGGTGCGATCTATGGTGTTCAATGTCTGTGGTGTAAGCTATGTGGTGTAAGCTACGTGGTGCAATGCACGTGGTAGCATGCAACGCAACGCAATGCGATTGCAATGCAATGCGCACCGATTGCAATGCAACGCGATTGCAATGCAACTGGGGGGGTAATCAACGGGACGGGGGCGACGGGCGGCGACGAGGCGGCGACGGGCGGCGCCAGGGTGGCCAGACCGACAACCATGGCCAGGCGACGGACGGCGACGACGCGGCGACGAAGCGGCGACGGGCTGCGACGAGGCGGCGACGGGCGGCTATATGCTGGCCAGGTCGACAACCAGGCCCAGTTCCTTAGAACTCAAGTGAGAACCCCGAAGTGCAAACACTTTCTGGGGAAAGCTAATATAACATAATAAACCAGGGTAGAGTAGATGCATCGAGAATAACATATTCGAGTAGAGCAGAGCAGAGCAGAGTATAATAACAATAGAGGAGGGTCGAGTAAAGTAGGAGTCTATTAGGAATAGGGTAGAACATGAACCACGTAGGGTCAAGTTAGCCAAGTCGAGTAAATCGGAGGGCCCCGCCTACCCCCGTCCTCTTTCCCGACAACAACACAGCAAATGTAGCGTCCCACCTCGAACACGGAAGGCGCTCGCGCGCGGCCCCGCTTCCCACGACTCCGTGAGAGGTACGCTGACGCGGGCCGCGCAGGGACGGGAGCGGCAAAACTTCTGCTGGGCGCAGCGAAAGCCGAAGCAAGCGCCGCGCTGACACGGCACGGCCACGTTCGCTCGCAAACTGATCGGCATTTCGCCCGGGTTCGCCTTCCTCCTCCTCCTCCTCCTCCTCCTCCTCCTCCTCCTCCTCCTCTTCCTCCTCCTCCTCCTCCTCCTTCCCTCCTCCTCCTCCTCCTCCTCCTCCTCCTCCTCCTCCCATCGCTTCCATGCAACCCGGCGAACGAACCACGCGCCGCGCCCGCGCGGGAACGCCACCTCCGAGCGACGGAGGGCGACCAGTCGCCCCCCCTCGCGCGGGACCCCCCAAACATTGGCGAATGCCAGGTGTGCGCCGCGGCCCGGCGGGCGCGCCACGTTCAGGCACAGACGGGCGCGGCGCCGAGGCGAGGACGACATCTTCGCCCGCTCGCGTCGACGAAGTGGCGCGCGAAACACGTGCGCAGCGCCCCAGCGGGAGCACAAGTCTCCAGGAAAAGGAACGCGGCGCCGAGAGGGCTGACAGTTCGACCTTTCGCCACGGACGTGGGCCGCGTCCCATGCCTGTCGCGCATTTGGCAACACGGGCGACGTAGTATCCATGTTGAAACGAGGCGTGGATTTGGTATTATGTGTTGACAAATGAGACGGGGCCACCTGGATGGGGTTGCTATCAGCCGACTATGTAGCAGACTTGGAGTATATACCAATACTGAATAAGGATAGAATAGGAGTAACGCCAATGTAGGGTGAGATAGATGGTTGAGTAGAGTGGGGTGTAATAGAGTATAGAAGGATCGACCACAGTATAGTAGGAGTATATGACGCTCGCTCTATGAGTAGGAGTAGAGTAACAATGTAGTAGTTTAGGGTAGGGTAGAGTAGAGTAGGGCATAACATAACAGAGTATGATAGGGTAGATGGTAGATTAGAGTCAAGTATACTAGAGTAGAGCAGATTAGGGTCGAGCCGGATAGAGTACAATAGAGTGGAGTAGAATCCACCCCAATCCAATCTACTCCAGCTCAGTCCACTTCAGTCCGCTCCACCCCTTGATTTCAATCTTCCGATCTCTTCGGAAGCTGCGCTGGCTGATCTATATATAAGTACATATTTACACCAGTCGTTCTGAAAGATCTGGTCGTCTTCACTTTTTTCGGACTTCCTTCAACTCCAGTCGGCCCCAGGGGCCTCCAAGAGGGTCCCGAGACGGCCAGCGAGGCCACCAAAATTGGCTCGATGGTCCTCGAAGCCTGCCCCAAGGCGTCGTGACATCCAGCCCAGGAGGACTCGCAGACATCCCAGGGCGGCCAAAGAGAGCTCAAAGGTGGCCCAAGGGGGAGGAATAGGAGGAGGAGGAGGAGGAGGAGGAGGAGGAGGAGGAGGAGGAGGAGGAGGAGGAGGAGGAGGAGGAGGATCGAGAAGGAGGAGGAGGTGGATGAGGAAGATGAAGAGGAGGAGGAGGAGGAGGCGGAGGAGGCGGACTGGACTGGAACGCTTACGACCCTGGTGAGTTCCACTGTCGTGCGACGCTTAGCAAACGAGCACATGATATGTATGAGGATCTGCGGATAGCACGGGGCTATAGCCTGCAGCCTCGCTGGGGGGAAGCCACTGGCCCAAAGCAGGACCGTCCAATGGGGAACGGCCCGTGACGGCCTACATGGGCACCATCCTCCCAGCGGCAGGCTCGCATCAGAAGAGAGTCGAAAGTCTCCCCCAATTCAATCCTAGGCCACGGCCCAGCAACGATACGACGAGGGAACGAAGGGGAACGACGGGCGAGAAGGAACAGGACACCGCCAACACACGCAAACACCCACACACACACACGAGGCCAGAAGAAGGAGGAGGGCAAGCAGCAGCAGGAGCCGCGGGGGAGAGGAAGGAGAGGAGGGAGGGCAGCAGGCAGCGGAGGGGGCCGTGGCATTAAGGAGGAGGAGGAAAAATTAGGAGGAGGAAAAGGAGGTCCTCCTCAACTCCTCCTCCTCCTCCTCCTCCTCCTCCTCCTCCTCCTCCTCCTCCTCCTCCTCCTCTTAGAGAGCCCTTCGACGGCCGTAGACGGCCGCAGGAGACCCCCCCGACGACCAAGAGGGCCTCGAGACGGCCCACGAAGAGACCCGAGACGGCCCAAGAGGGCCCCAAGATGGCCAAAGAGAACCCCAAGGGACCCCAAGACTGCCCTACAGAAGCCCGACACGGCCCCAGGACGGCTCGAACGAGCTCCATCAGAGCTCCCGAAGAGGTGATGGCGAGAGGGCTCACATGTGATGGCCGTTTTCTTCCACCTCTTCCATCTCCTCCTCATCCTGTCCAACATGACCACAATCAATATTGCTAGACGGAGCCGGCCGTGGAAACGAGGCCATCTCACCAACAAGTGAGTAGCGTTCGGATTCCTCGAAATCCGCGCCCTCAACCCTGTTCTCTTCCTGCGTCGGTCCACTCACCCCTGTCCCCGCCGGGTCGAACTGCCACGGAACTGGCTCGGAGTCGTCCTCGATCACCGTGATCCCGTCCAGTGCGGCCTTCGCCCTTGAGATCACCTGCGGCAGTGTACAGTCCAGCACAAGGGTAAGGGCATGGTACCAGAGACATCAAGCAATTCACTGACGAATTGCGCAAGGCTGGCTGCAAAACCCCGCTCTTCCCCATGGTCTCGAACACCTGGGCCCTCGAATGAGATAAATGGCTCCTTCGGGGTGTGCCGTGCCCAGATGCTCCACAACAGCGCCGTTGAGGTGTCCTGGGTCCTGCTCGCTGCAAGACTTTCCTAGACAAATAGTCTGTCGACTGCGTGAAGATGCGCGCGGTCAGGTCTCCCATCAGGCAGCAGTCAACTCAATCGTCTAAACTAAACAAGTACTGGGCAAAACGCTGCAGAGTGGAGAACGCAGACACGTGTCATAACGTGTATTTTTCCAGCGCGATATTTTGGGGAGGGGGTGAAAAGACTGGCACAGAACACACGATCCACCGCATTGCTCAAACTTGGCTGCCGAGCTCAACAGAAGGAGGAGAAGGAGAACCATGAGGAGGGGGAGGAGGAGGAGGAGGAGGAATAGGAATAGGAGGATGATGATGATGACGAGGAGGAGGAGGAGAAGGGAGAAGATGGATGAAGGAGGAGGAAGAGGAGGGAAACGGAGGAGGCAGAGGAGGGAGGAGGATGAGAGAGAGGATGGATGAGGCAGGAGGAAGGAGGAGGAGGGAGGAGGAGGAGGACCAGTGTAAACCCAGGACTCATCAACGATGTTGGAATAAACCCTCCCTCCAAGCTCTCTCTTCACAGGCTCCTTACAAGGGTTCATGTCCACTGAGGGAACTGCCTCGTTGGGAGACAACCGTTGGAAGACCCTAAATATGCCAAAACACTATTCTCGGGATTTCAACGCCACGGATCAACCTGGCTGTTGCGCCTTGACGTTCCCGAATCGTGCCGTAACGCCATTCCTGGGACTTCAACACCGCGAACCAACGTAACTGTTGCACCCTCGCGATCCTGAATCCTTTCAACATGCAATTTCTGATACGCTCGCCATGGGAATGCGTGAAACTCTTGCCACTTTTTTAAGCGAATGTGCGCGGCGCTCAGGCGCGAACCACATTTTGAAAACGAGCCGCCCTCCATCCGTGACGCCCTCACAAACTAAAACAACGAATGTTCGCGGTGTTAAAGCGAGAGCTACATTTTGAAAACGGCCCGCCCTTAGTATGTGAAGCTCTTGTAACTTTTGAAACGAATGTACGCGGCGCTAAGGCGAGAACCACATTTCGAAAGCGGCCCGTCCTCAATCTGAGAAGCTCTTCCAACTTATTCAGACGAATGTGCGCGGCGCGAAAGCGAGAAACTACATTTGAAAGCGGCCCGCCCTCAATCCGTGAAACTCTGGCACTTTTTGAAGACGAATGTGCGCGGCGCTGAGGCGAGAGCACCGCACATTTTGAAAACTACCCCCCCTCCATTTGCAAAGCTGCCACCGATTTTCAAATTGCAGGGTCATAAACGGTGAGGAAGTCTCAGGCGAAACGCCCAGCCCACCCTTTCGACCGGCCCTGGGGCGCGACAGGGAGGAATTATCGATAAAGAAAATGACTTGAGGAGGAGGAGGAGGAGGAGTAGGGGCGAGGAGGCCTGTAGGGGTGCGCCTCCCCTGCCTGGTCCCACCTCCTCTCGTCCGACCCGACCCTCGATCCCCGCCCTGCGCGGAGGTATGCCACGGTTGCAGAGGGCACGGGCGAGCGCACGGCGACGTCGCTTTCAGAGCTCTGGCGCCAGAGAGGCCAGCGGTCTGCGATGGGCTCTCGCGATGGCTGCACCTCGGACCCCACGAGGCCGACCCGACGACCCAACTCTCCGATGCCTCGACGACGAGGCCCTCTTCTGTGTCGATGATCCTCAGAACGTCTGTTGGCGCCAACGCGTGCGTGTCCACCGAAGCCCTGCGATACGCCGCAGGCTGTGCTGCAAGGGCCGACCGAAGCCGTGTGCTGTCAGTGGGGCTGCACCGGGTCAACACGCATTGGGCCAACGGACGTCCTGAGGATCACCGGCTGTGTAACGCCCTGCGTCCAGCCTCACGCCAACGTGGCCCTGGGAAAGAGTGACAGTTGGTGCGCCGACCGTTGCGTGCCTGCGATGCGACTGGTAGCGGCCCGCGCGCTTGGGTCTGGCTCCCCCCTCCCCCTGCCCCCTGGAGGCCGCACGCCAAGGGTCACTCCGGCAGAGAGCGCCACCCTTTCACGCGCAAACGAAAGCTGCCACGGGGCGCACCTGGTCGAACCGGCCCAGCTCTGGGGACACTACGACCATGTCCGTCTTGTCGTAGGGGGCACCTGCCCTCGTCGACGCCCGCCGCGAACCCTCCCCCCTCCGCCCTCCAAGCCATGGGGGGGCAGTGCGCTTGGTCGGGGAACGTCAACTATCAACCTCACCGATCCTGGCCAGGCCGATCCTGGGCTAGATACTTAGCCATATGAAGACGAACGGACGAGGCCAGGTTTAGCTAGATTCGACCAGTTCAACCTTCCAGGATTTCCAGGATTTGCACCCGATGGGGGATCCAGCACGGACCATGTAGGTCATCTGACTCAGCGGTTTGCGCCGATCTTCACGCCCTAGCGCCGCACCCGTGCAGAAAGGCACGTCTCTAATCCAGGCCGGGGCGCGCGAAATGTGGCTGTTGTCGTGCCCGAATGGCAGTCTAGAGTGAATTAGATAGGAAGCCGGGAAGAGTCTGAGGCAGCAGAGGGCACCAGATCGAACCACGTTCGGCCTCCCGGGGGGTCGGTGGTCAGTGGCGCGGCGCTTAGACATCCTCCTCGTCGCGCCGCCAGAAGACACCTTCGTGCTCATGTCACGCTGTTGCGATGCGCGCTTCCTCGCGCGACGGGCCGGAGGAGCTGCGGGTCAGTGCCACCGCTGCGGGCGCGGCCTCTCCAGACGAGGCTGGGGCTAGAAGCTGGCGCAGCATGCAGAAGGACGAATGTTCGCAGATCAAGGGGAATTGGGAGGTGGCGGAAGAGGAGGAGGAGGAGGAGGTGGAGGAGGAGGAGGAGGAGGACGAGGAGGAGGAGGAGAAGGAGGAGGAGGAGGAAGAGGAGGAAGCGGATCTTGTCTTCACGACAGCGCGCACTCTCTGGCTTCTGATTTCCGTCGGTCGGGTCAGCATGCAGAATCCCCTGTGGATGGGAGCGCCAAGAGAGGGAGCGGCGACGCAATCATAAGGCACATACGCGACAGGCCAACTCGGGCCCCCCTTCGGGCCAGATTTTGATGCATGTGGACTCCCAGCACGCTGTGATCCGCGGCGCCCCTGCGGTCTGGCCCACAGTGGGCTTGCCTGACCTGGCCTGGTGATGGTGGATTAGCAGAGGGTCCCAACGCAAGAGCGAAGATGACGTGGCAGTGGGGGATGAAAACCACCGTGCCAGAGCAGGGCAATCCTGGGCACTGGCAGGATGCGTACGGCCTCCTGGCCGAGGACAGGAGGGTCTATGCACCATCCTGGACCGAGGTGGGGGATCATCCCCCGCCGCGCTCTGCAGGCTGGGCCTGTGCGAAGACCCGTCCAACCCTGCTGAGTGCGCGCGGGATCACGGACCTCGGCTGCGAGCTAGGCGCCTCACTTTCGCCTTCAAGGGGCCCGGTGGAACGGGTCCATGACTACCAGCATGACTACCAGCGACGATGGGTGGTGTAGGGTGAGCGGGTGGGATGGGGAGCGGAACCAAACAACAAACGAGAGTAGCGAACTGTGAGGACGGGTGCGCGGAGGGAAAGGCACGCCTGGGGGGGGGTCATGGTGGACCATGATGAGCCTGAACTTCGGGCGGCCAGCTGCGTAAACCAAAGCCACCATCCTTCTGACCTGGACACAACCCTTCGGCAAATCCGGTTCTCTAGAGGTGCCCCCCCCGTCCATCCCCAGCAGCTCCTACTGGTAAAGCATCCAAAGCAGCAACAACCCTATGTGTGCCCAGACCGCACCAAAAGGAATATGCCTCCAAAGTGGGGTCCGATAGGGTGGGAGGATCGCGCCGCATCGCCGATGGATCGGTGACGTCGGCGTGGGGAAAGTCGGGCTCCACAGCGAGCTGTGTCGCCGATGCATCGGCGATGCGGTGCGATCCTTCGACCTGTGTCTGCTCGGACGCCATTTGGGAAGCCTCCGACGACGCACTTTTCCGCAACGTGGGCCCCTGGGGATCTCGACCTCCTCCTCCGGGGGGGTGGCTTCTCGTCTCGATGGGTTGCTTGGCGGCCCCAGGGCTGGGCGGCGGCGTCTGCTACGCGGGAAGCGTGGGCAAAGCTGGCCGTCGCGACTTTTTTCGCGACGCCAACAAGGATCTTATATGAAGAAGAAAAACGGCATATTTTTCATGAAAATCGAAACACAATAAACAAATAAAGAAAAACGGCATATACATGTTTTGGGGTCCGCGCGGGTTCCTGGGATCATCGCTGGACACCCTTCGCTGGCGCGCGGAGCGCGTCAGGGGCGGCGCCGCCAGGCGCCGCCAGGGGTGCCCATCGCCGATCCGAGAAATTTACGTCGACCTCCAGAAATTCATGTTCGTGCAGTGTTCCAAGAAACAATGCTTGCACTTTGGGTTTCTTGCTTCCGTTCCCAAGTAATTGGATGGGTGTCCCGAGGGTTCGGCGCTCTGGCTTGTTGCTGCCCCACTGCCGCCTGTGGTGGTGTCCCGACAATTGCCACGTTTCGGCTTGTTGCCGCCCATTGCCGCCTGTGGGGGCGTCCTAAAAATTCGCCACGCTCCAGCCCGCTGCCGGCCGTTGCCGCCTGCGGGGCTGTCCCGAAGATGCACAATCGCTCCCAGGAGAGCGACCGCAGAGACGCTTGGGCACGACACGGCCTGCACATCCACAGTAATATCTACTGCTTGGGACCCACGCTGACACGCCTTATGCTTCTCGGGAGCGGCCAAGAGGGGGGTGTCCAAGAGGGGGGGGTGCAAATCATGACCGGCGGCATGCGCGCGGCCCAGCGGGGGGGCCAGGGACGTCATGAAATAAGAAGGGGCGCCACAAAATCTGGGGAAATATCATGGCCCCCGCCATGATATCCACCCCCCCCTTAGTCATCACCCCACTCTTTCCCGCCCCCGAGCTTCGAGATCTGTGGGGCCACGGCCTCCGCGCCGGCCTGGCCCCCTGACCCTGCGCCGCCCACCGTCCCAGGGGGCCATGTGGGAGCGCGCCGTGCCGCCCTTACGGGCAGAGCGGGCGGCGGGCGCGCTCGCCGCCGCCCGGCGCGGAGCTCCCCCGTCGGGCACCCTGGGGAGCTGCGCGGTGCACCCTGGGGAGCTGCGCGGTGCGGCGCGCAGCCAGCCCCGCGGAGCGCGCCAGCAGCCCCGACCGGAGTCCCTCGCGCGCCAGCTGTTGCGCGGGCGGCGAGCCAGGCGAGGGGCAAGCGGACCCTGCGCCGAGGGATGGCGCCCCAGCACGGGGGGGAGTGACACCATGGCCGCCCTCCTGCTCCTGCCCTAACTGCTCCTGCTCCTCCAGCTGCTCCTTCTGCTGCTTGTGCTCCATCTCGTCTTCCCCTCCTCCCCCTCCCTCCCTGCCTGCTCATGTCGCCTCCCTCCTCCCTCCTTTCTCCCCGTCCCTCCCTCCCTGCCTTCATCTTCTTCTTCTTCCTCCCCCTCCTCCTCCTCCTCCTGCTCCTCCTCCTCCTCCTCCTCTTCCTCTTCCTCCTCTTCCTTGTCCTAGTCCTAGTCCTGGTCCTAGTCCTCCTTGTCCTCCTTTTCCTCTTTCTCTCCACCTCCTCCTTCTGCTCCCCCGTTCCCTCCTCCCCCTCTGGAGTGGCCTCTGGAGGTCCGGAGCGGCCGCTGGAGGTCCCCAGAGGCCTCCAGAGGCAGAGCAGAAGCCAGCGTGTGCAGACATAACTGGATCCTAGATCCTCCTTCCTCCGCCTCCTTCTCCTCCTCCTCCTCCTCCGCCTTCCTCCTCCGCCTCTTCTTGCTCATCCTCCTCCTCCGCCTTCCTCCTCCGCCTCCTTCCCCCCCCCCGCAGGAGGCCGTTGGGCTTCAGGCCCAGGGGCAGGATGACGACGCTGGGGACATCGACGACCTGCCGGGCTGAGGCGGCGGCCCCCCCGTGGGGGGTGCCGCGGCGAACAACAACGCACCCCTGGAGAATGAGTTTGATCCTGCCCACCTCGATCGCCCGCCGTGCCGCGGGCCGCGGTCAAGCGTCGCACGGTGTGGGAGCATTTGGCAGCGGCTCGGAGACATCCGAGCGCGTTATTCTTGCCAGATTCGCAAATCTCGGATGGGACCGCAAAAAGGTGAACGTAGAGAGCACAACATCCAGGAAGAGGAGGAGGAGGATGAGGAGGAGGAGGAGGACTTCTTCTCCCCCCCCACCTGTCAGCCTGTTCGGGTCACCTGTGCAGCGGAGCGGAACGCCTCCACCTTCCTCTTTTCTCCTACTATTTTGTGTCGCATGTCGTCCGTCCTCTCCGTCGTGTTGCCGCCTCCCTCTTGTCCCTTCCCCCCAGGTTTGTCCGCCACCACGCCCCTTGGTTCGTTGAGGCGTGGTATAATGCCGAGAGCTGTTTAGCATGGTTACAACATCACCACCATCACCATCACCATCACCATCACCAGCACCATCACCAGCACCATCACTATCACCAGCACTATCACCACCACCATCACCACCACTATCACCAACATCACCACCACGATCTTCATCATCATCGCCATCACCATCACCATCACCATCACTATCACCAGCACTATCACCACCATCACCACCACCACTATCACCACCACCATCTTCATCATCATCGCCACCATCACCAACAGCATCGACCTCGGCACCAACAGCGACACCATCACAATAACCATCTGCTCCAGAGGCGCGAGGCAGACCCAAAGCTTCCACGCCACCCGTTCTTGCCGCCTGCATCGTCTCCTCCGCCTCGGCCTTCCAGAGCCCCCTCTTCGGGGCCCCAGAGCTGGCTTTCAAACAAGGAGCCGAGAGCAAACCTCGGCCCCTGCGGAAGAGGTCGATGAAACTCCCCAGGCTAGCGGTGCGCAAAAACGTCGGGCCGTTGGAGGTCCAGCGCCACGATTTTGAGCGTCAGCGGCAACAGCAAGGGCCACGTATACCGACCGGGCCCACAGCGAAACTGGAACCGACCGAACCGAAAAACCGAACGAAATCTCGAGGAAGGCAGCGACGCAATAGTGGACTGGACCGGACCGACCACACGCAGCCGACTGCGACGTAAGCGACCGAACCGAGCCGAGGACTGCCCTGAGGACGCAGAGAGGCACGGAGGATACAGCGAGACATCAAGAGAGAGAGGGAGAGAGAGAGAGCGAAAGATAAATTGAAGGAGCTGGCTGAACCGAGCCGCGGACACCATGCATGACACACAGAGGAACAGAGGAGACAGAGAGACATCAAGATATCAAAAGAGAGGGAGAGGGAAAATAGCAACAAGAAGGAGCCGACCGAACCGAGCCGCGGACTCCCTCGATGACAGAGAGACATCGGTATAACGAGAGAGAGAGAGAGAGAGAGAGCGAGCGAGAGGAGGAGTGAGAGAGAGAGAAAGAGAGAGACAGAGAGAGCGATAACGAAACACAAAGAGATACAGACGGACATGAAAACAAGAAAAACTAATGCCTCCGAGTTTCCGACTTTTCAGGGTGCCCACCTAGTCCTACACCATTCTTTGTTGACTGCATCAGAGACCGAAAACGCCTAAAGCGCCTCTGTGGCAACCGGAAATGGTGAACACCTCCGTCTTGGTTTTCCCCACGTGCTAAATGAGGTTCTGGTTTTCTCTCCAGGCGCGTTTCGCCCGCGTTCCTACCTTACTCCTTCTCTTCCCTCTCCGTCTCGCTCGGACAGACATCAGAATTCGTACACGCATGAGCCTCTACTCGCTCGGACGCGTCTTACAATCAGACATACGCACGCAGACAACAGTACACAGACATAGTAATAGTAATAGTAGTAGTAGTAGTAGTAGTAGTAGTAGTAGTAGTAGTAGTAGTAGTAGTAGTAGTAATAGTAGTAGTAATAGTAGTAGCAGCAGTCGTAGTCGTAGTAGTACTGGTAGTAGTAGTAAACAGTAGATGGTAAATAGTAAGTAGTAGTAGTAGTAGTAGTAGTAGTAGTAGTAGTAGTAGTAGTCGTAGTAGTCGTAGTGGTAGTAGTAGTAGTAGTAGTAGTAGTAGTAGTAGTAGTACTAGTAGTAATCGAAGTAGTAGTAGTAGTAGTAGTAGTAGTAGTAGTAGTAGTAGTAGTAGTGGGAATAGTAGTAGTAGTGGTAATAGTAATACTAGTAGTAGCAGTAGTAGTAGTAGTAGTAGTAGTAGTAGTAATAGTAGTAGTAGTAGTAGTAGTAGAAGTAGCCGTAGTAGTAGTGGTGGTAGTAGTAGTAGTAGTAGTAGTAGTAGTAGTAGTAGTTATAGTAGTAATACTAGTAATAGTAGTGGTAGTAGTGGTAGTAGTAGTAGTAGTAGTAGTAGTAGTAGTAGTAGTAGTAGTAGTAGTAGTAGTTGTAGTAGCAGTAGTAGAAGTAGTAGTAGTAGTAGTAGTAGTAGTAGTAGTAGGAGTAGTGGTAGTACTAATCGTAATAGAACACGAGTTGAATAAGAAGACGTAACATAGTAGTCGTATAAGTCGGGAGTGAGGGGGTGATATCGAAGTGGAACGGAGAGCCCCC